CACGTGGCTTCTCCTCACCCCTCATCCCAACCCCTGGCCCCATTTCTTTGGCTTTGACCTTTTTTTCTTCCCCAGCACTCAGCCTCTCCCCTGCCTGCATTGCCCTCTGCGACCCTGCCACGCCCATTCCCATGTTCCGGTGTGCTGTCCCATGGGCACCCCTGAGACCCGCCCCTGGGCACGAGGGCAGCGTGTGCCCCCTCCTCGGACGTCTACGGTTTGTTCCGTGGCTGCTCTTCCCAGCCTGTCCGTGAATGTGCCTCCCTCCTGCCCCGGCTCATAAACACATTCCCTCCTCAGGACAAAGATGAGGCCTGTGGAGACGCGTCTGCTCTCAGGGCCCAGGGCGCGGTGCCTGGCAGGGGCTCAGCCAATGCCCGTGGCCCCGCTGAAGGGTCTGTCTGTGGGAGAAACCGTTGTCCGAGGGCCTGGCCGCAGTTCGGCGTGTTGCAGCCGATGTGGCCGTCCTGCTTCCGGGACCAGCCCTCCGCATGCCCGAGAGGTGTCAAGCCCCTGAAGAAACAAACAGACTGTGGTTTCCTTCAGTCCGGCTCTTCACCGAAGCAGGATCCCGCCACGGGCACTGCACCCTCGGTGCCAAAGGCGGCTTGGACCCCCCGTGGCGGGGCTCCTGTGGCCGCCAGCTCCTCTGTAAACGTCTCAGACTCCCCCCGCCCCATTTTGTCCACCTTTCCCCAGGCTGTACTTGTGTTGGTGCTCCGACATCGTGGATGCCCCAGTGGTTCAGTGAGTCCATTCCGGTCTCCTTGCCCTTGGAGTCCAGCCTTGCCTGTCTGAGCCCAGCCTGCCTTCCCAGGGTCTCTCTCACCACCCTCCTGAGCGCACAGTGGGCTCCAGCCCCTCCTTGGGGCGCTCTGCCCCTTGACCAAAAGCACAGCTCCGTGTCCTGGCGCTTGTCATGGTCTTTTAGGCCCCTCTTCGGCCACCTTCCTTTGGACACCTGTACATTTGGACACCTGTCCACCAAATCTCTGTTACTGCGGCCAAGGCCAGAGGTCACATCACAAAGACCACACCCCCATTCTTGGTCTCAGCTGATGGCCAGCTGTTGACTCCAGGCCTGTTACTGGATCATTAGCCCACTAGGGTGTATAAGGTGCACCTCTTCCCACCCATTTATCCGCCCCACCCCCTCCCCAGGTGTTGAATTCAAGAAGAGAGTCTTAAAGTTGAAGGAACCTTCTAATATCAGAAAGCAAGAGACCTTGGGAGAGAGTTTGTTGACTTAATGAGGGACCTGAAAGAATAAAGCTGCAATGACTCGCTGATGCTGGATCCTTTGGGGGCAGAGGGCCCTGATGCCCCTCCCGTCTTATGTAACCACAGCCTCTTTCTGGCTGGAGGGAAGGACCAATGAGGCACATGGCCCAAAGCAGAAGTTTCGGGTTCTAGAAGAGCAGGTGTGTGTGTGTGTGTGTGTGTGTGGACAGTGCGTGGTGTCTGTGTGCACAGCATCCAGGGTGGCCCCAGCCTGAGAGATTCAGACAGAAAAGGGTCTGCCCCGCTGTCCCGGATGCTCCTGCTCACCAGCCCCCGCTCCCAGGCCCTTGGATTTGCGCCTCCTCCTGCCCCCTCCATCAACCCCCGACTCCTCTCCACCTCCCATGGCTCCGTTCTCCCTTTTCTGAAAGATGCACAAGCGCGCACTTTGGTTTTGTCGTTGCTGCTGGTGCTTCCTCAGATCGGCCCATTATCTTCACTTATGCTGAGAAAAGAGCCTATTGAATAGATGATTACTAGGCCTTTTATTTCTCCCTGGGCTTCCAGGGGGCGGCTTTCTCGTCTGGGATCCGCTGTGTCGCTGGGAGCGGCAGGGAACGGAGGTGCTGACAGCTCGTGTTGGGTGTTTACTACGCTGTGAGTTTATGACAGCCTTGTTTCCATACTGACAGCGAACGCCATATGGAGAGGAAAAAATGCTGTCAGATGAACCCTTAAGCAATCACAACACAGTACATGAAGTCTCATAATTGCTTTTGGAAAAGCGGGGAGCTGCTTAAATCGCATCAGCGTGTGGCGCTCTGTGCCCTGACTGAATAAAACGGGAGCTTGACATCAGGTGATTTACTCTCCTGTGTTTGGGAAGCTCAGCTGATGGGGAAGGGCTGGGGGGTTTGTTTTCCTCACCCCTGGGCACGGGTGCGCGGGAGGCAGGGAGAATGCAGGCCACGTCTGCAGGGCAGTGTGCTAACAGGTGCAGCCCCAGACCTGTCACCCTCTGGGCCTCCTTCCAGACTCCCCACTGTGGCTGAAGATGACACTCATCTAACTTGACATTTTATTACTGTCACTTGGGATCTTATCAGCTCACCCCCGCGCTGCCTCCCCCCCCCCCCCCCCCACACACACACACTCCCTTTCCAACAGAATCCAAGATCCCTGAGGGCTGGGCCCACATCCCAGCCCTGCCCTCACCGGTCCTGGCCTGCAGGGCTGTGGGTTAAGTGTTCATGAACCGTCTGTGTGCATGGAAAGGTGGACTGGATTAAGGTGATAGTTCAAGGCTAGTTTCAGCCCCCAAACCACTCGAGGAGGATGCCCCATTGATCAAAGTACCCACTTGTGAGGATGAGAAATGTTGGAGTGCCTTCTTGTCCCACAGAACACCTAGAGCTGGTGAATGTCTACAAAACCAGTCCCTGCGGGCTGTGAGACTCTCCAGCCCATTGTTGCTTCTTCAGTTGCAAGAGACAAAAACCAACACCAGCTGGCCTCAACGCAGACTCTGGGGTGAAGACCCTGCAGGCGCCGCTGGCCTGGCAGGCTGGCCTCGGGCCCCTGTGCTCTTCGGGCACCAGGTTTCTCACTTCACTCAGCTCTCTCCCCTGTGCCTGTGCTGGCTTCGTTCTCTGTGGGCTCACTGCCTGTGGGAGGGACACTTGTGGCAGCTCTGGGGCGACCAGTCCCTTAGCCTTGTCACCCAGAGAGGAGCAAGTATCTAGCAAAGTTCTAGCAAAAACCCTGGAAGGACTCCAAGGCCCACTCAGGCCAGGGAACCTATCGTGTGGCAATAGGGAAGGGGCCTCTGATTGGTTAGGGCTGGCTGGGTTCTTACAGACCGGTTCCCTAGAGCAGTGGTCGGCAAACTCATTAGTCAACAGAGCCAATATCAACAGTACAACGATTGAAATCTTTTGAGAGCCAAATTTTTTAAACTTAAACTATATAGGTAGGTACATTGTTATTAACTTAATTAGGAGACTCCTAAGGCTTAGGCAGAGCCACACTCAAGGGGCCAAAGAGCCGCATGTGGCTCTTGAGCCGCAGTTTTCCGACCACTGCCCTAGAGGAAGGGAGATGGTGCAGACCGGAAAGCCACATCCATGATGACAGCAGGTGGTTTATTAAGCATTTGCTATGTGCCAGCCTCTGGTCTGAGTCCTTTCTCCGCGTTGTCTTATTCAGTCCTCGTGATGGTCGCAGGAGCTGGGTACCATTGCCGTTTCCAGTTTACGGATGAGGAAACGGAGGGATAAACGTGTCCAGTGAGTTGTCCCAGGTCACACAGGCAGGAAGTGGTGAGGCTGGGATTTGAACCCAGGCGGTTTAGCTCCATAACCCATGCTCACAGCCCCTGCCTCCCGACCTGCCCGTGGCTAAGCTCTTTGTGCACGGAAATGATGGCCGTATTCGTTTTTCCCGTTGTAGTCCCCATCTCCAGAGAAACACCGCGTCCTGGCTCCTCCTCTGCAGTTGGCAAGGACAGTCATTCCTCCTGTCCGGGTAGCTCCTAACCCAGGTCTAACTCAGCCCGCTTCCTGGTTCCCCATGAAATCTTCTGAATGTTTCTAACTCAGCCTGCTTCCTGGTTCCCCATGAAATCTTCTGACTGTTTCTAACTCAGCCCGCTTCCTGGTTCCCCATGAAATCTTCTGAATGTTTCTAACTCAGCCCGCTTCCTGGTTCCCCATGAAATCTCCTGACTGTTTTCTGCGAAAGGCAAATTCACAGTGCTCGCTCGAGAGGCTCAAGGCCCGGGCCGCAGCCCTTGAGGAAGCCTCTGGTAGTCATTGCAGGAAGAGGCAAGAAGGGACCCCCCACCCCAACCTCCATCTCACGTCCCACATGGGCCTTCATTTTTCAGAGGAAGACTGAGGCCCAGAAAGGACAAGTGAGCTTCCTGAAGGCACACAGCAAGTCATTGGCGAGGCCTCGCGTGGTGATGGCGTGGCTGAGGGCTGGCCACTTTCTGTCTCTGTGCCTCTGGCGCCTCCGCTGGAAAAAGCAGGCTTTTCATAATTTGAAACATCCCAAGACTGGCTTTGCTCCAATTGGACAAAAATAAAAGTTTTTTTGCCGTATTCATTAGGATGCTTTGAATTACAAGTAATTACCATTTTTTTTTCCCAAGCAAGGCTCTTTAGTAAGTGCTTCAGATATGGTTGGGCTGCAGGCACGGTTTGATCCAGGGACTCATGGCACCACCAGGCCCCAAGTCTACTTGTAGTTCTCCCAGTTCTGGCTCCTCTGTGAGTCGGCCTGGTCCTCGCAGCCACTTCCTTCCCAGGGTCAAGAACTCCGCACAGGCTCTGGCCTCGCCCCTCGCACCCCATCCACAGGCAGAGAAAGCACCTCTGCTCAACGAGCCAGGCAGTCTGTGGTTCACTCTGGTTTTACTGGCAGGGATGGCATGCCTGCCACCTTCATCCAGTCACTTTCACCAGCGGATGTGACATGCTGATGGCCAGCCAGGGGCAGCCATAGTCCCCAGAACTGCTGGCATCTCCATACAGAAACCAGGGCATCGGCAAGGGGAGTGGGCCGGCAGTGGAGGCTGGGCTATCACTGGCAGCTTCCTTGGCGCTGACCTCGTCCTCTCTGCGTCTGCGGGGCCTGGAGACACATCAGGGCTCCTGAGAGTTTGCCAGGCACCTGGCTCCACCCACCCGGGGCATTACCTCCAGGTGAGGGGGTGGGACGGCCCGGCCCGGCCTGGCCCTCTCCTGGGTCTCACCACCTTCCTCTTTTCTTGTCTCCAGACAGAGACTACTGCAGCTTATGTGACAAGCAGCCAATTGGGAGGCTGCTTTTCCGGCAGTTCTGTGAAGCGAGGCCTGGGCTGGAGTGTTACATTCAGTTTCTGGACTCAGTGGTAAGTCCCTGGTCCTGGGGGGAGGAGGGTCCTGGGTCCTCGGTGATCAGCGATCGTGTTCGTCCAAAGGAAACGCTAGACCACATGGTTTAGAAGGCTGCGGCGAATAAAACGGCTGCTCCAGAAGCTTCCACGCAGATGGCTGTGTCATCTCCAGGTCTGCACCCCTGGTGGCCATGGGTGACCACCTCCCCGCTGGGCCTCTGTTCCTGCTGCTTTAACGTGAGGCCCAGTGAGCTCCCTGATTCCGGGAGCCTGGGCTGTGCACGACTGTACATGGGGAAGTTGTGTGGTAATTCCAAAGCTCGTGTGCGGGGACTTGTTTCCTGTCGACGGCCCACTAGAAAGCAAGCTCCCTGAGGCCAGGACCCTGGCTCCGGGTCACCCCTGCCTCGCACAGAGCCTGGCCACACAGGCATCCAGCACATGTTTGTGCATTGAATGGGTGTTGGCAGTTTCAAGCTGATCTGACTGCTGCTGGCACACGTGGCCGTGATTCACACCACGGGGGCCTCCTGCACCTGTTCTGGTCGCTCACCTGTGTAACAGATGCGGCCTGGAGGCCTGGAGGAGGGGATGTGCAGGGGCTCCTCAGACCTGCTCAGGGAGGTGGGCACCTCCGCCTGGCTTCTGCCCCTAGGTTTTTTCTCCTGGCTGCAGCCATCCTGACCTCTGTCTTGGTTTAGGGGGCCTGCGTTTCTGTGTCTTCTTCGGGGTCTGTCTGTGGCTCTCTGGACCCACAAACCAAACTGCCCATTGACTGTCTCCACTGGAAGTCACATGGGCCCCTTAATGTCAGCGTGTCCCAAACACCCAGAACTTCTCCCCAGGCCCCCAAACTACCAGCCCTGACATGTTCCCTGGGCCAGTGACCAGCACCCCAGTCACCCAAGCCTGAATCCTTTGCATTGTCCTTGACCTCTCCTTCTTCCTCATCCCTTCCCCGACCCGATCAAGGACCCTGTGCTGGGCTCCTTAACCCTCCCAGACCAGTCCCCTCCCCTCCATGGCCTCCGTCTTGGTCTTAGTGCAGGTTCTCTGCGTGTCTCCTGTAAGCGATTGCAGCATTCTCAACCTCGGCTGAGCCGCAGAAACACCCGGGAGCCTTAAAAAAATACCAGCGCTCGCACTGAAGCCCAGACTCATTAATGTGTTTCTCTGGGGGGCGGGGCCCAGTATTTTCATAGCTTTTTATTATGGAAAATTTCAAGCTATAAAGGTAAAAGTCTACAGAATGGTATAATGAGCCCCCACGCATCCTTCACCCCACTTCAACAATGATGAGCTCAAGGCCAATCTTTTTTCACCCACCTCCGCTCCTCTGTAGCGTTTTGTAGCAGATCTCACATTTATTATTTTATCTGTGAACATTTCAGATGTGTCTCTGGACAATAAGGGCTCTTTAACAAAAATATAACCGCAGTACCATCACCATAACTCCAGTATTATTTTTCCCTATTATCTACTATTAGTCTGTATTCCCATGTCTGGCTTTCTCCTGTTTTATAAATGCATGTTTTAGCAGTTTATAGCCATCTCCCTCGTCCATCCTAAGAGTGTTCTGTGGTCGGAATTCTGCGCACTCGTCCCCATGTGTCATTTAATAAGTTCCTCTGTATTTCTTGTAAATTGATCATTAATCAGGCCCATTTCAACTGGAGGGTGGGGGGACTGACTTCATAAGTGGCTTCGCGTTGCTCTGCCAGGGGACATACACTCTCTGGTTGTCTTTCTTTCTGAGAAGGCAGCAGCCATTGATAATCCAGCCCCAGCCGGTTTGGCTCAGTGGATAGAGCGTCAGCCTGTGGACCGAAGGATCCCGGGTTCGATCCCAGTCAAGGGCACCTACCTTGGTTGCAGACTCCATCCCTGGCCCTGGTCGGGGCACGTGCATCAATGTGTCCTCTCACATCGATGTTTCTTTCTCTCTGTCTTTCCCTCTCTCTTCCACGCTCTCTAAAAATCAATGGAAAGTACCCTCCGGTGAGGAAAGTGGTGCTATTCAGCACCCACATCTGTTGATGAATGAGGGGTGACACCATGGCGACGTTCTGAGTCCGTCGTCCCTTCATTTGCTAACTAGGAAACACATTCGATGACTACCTGGTTACCCAGTGGTAAAGCTCATACAGGAAGTGCGTTATTCCTTTCCTGTTTTTGTGTTTTCAAAGTACCCATCGGTTCACTGGCAGTAACCAGCCCGAGTGTGACGTGTGGCCTTTCACGTGGTGCGTTCTGATGCACAGCAGTCACGGTTTTTATTGGGATGGCATGGTCTCCTCGTTGGCCAGTGGGAGCCCTTCGGGTTGGCTTCTGAGCCCTTGGAGAACACGGTGATCGCGGGCGGCCTCCTGGCCGTCGGCTGCCATGTAGTGTCGCAGTTCGTCTCGTGTGCTTCCTGCCCTTCACCTAGCGCTCGTCGTTTCTCCCAGGAGCCCTGGCTCCTCTTCCTGGGAATGGTACTGGGGCCGCTGGGGCCTTTTTAACATTTCCCGACTGCACTGCGTGTCCGGGGTTGGGAAGCATTGACACCCAGGATACAGTCCGAGTTCTGAAACTGACGTACCAGACCTTCTACCAACAGGCCCTGCCCGCCCGCTTGTCCTCGACCTCCCCCGGTCTTTTTGGGCCCTGAATTCTGGCCCTGCCCCTTGTTGGTGGTGGCTCCTTCTTGCCAGGATGGCCAAGTCTCTCGGTCCGGGCTGGAGTGGAGGGAGCAGGGCCGAGGGATCCAGGAGAGGTGTCAGTCATGCCAGACCTGTGCCACTAAAGAACTTTGAGTGACATGGGCCACTGGAGGGTTCTGAGCAGAGCAGTGGCGTGGTCTGACGTAGATTTTTAAAGGACTCTCTGTGTGTTGGGAACAGGCTCTGAGGGGCCGGGGCGGGAGCTGGGAGCTCTGGTTGGAGGCGGCTGCAGTCCAGGTGAGAGCTGATGGTGGCACAGCCACGTGGCAGCATCTCGCAGTGGTGAGAGTGGTTGGGTTTGGGGCATGTTTTGAAAGCAGAGTTAACAGTATTTCTTTTGTTTTTAATCCTCACCCGAGGATATGTTTTAACTGATTTTTAGAGGGAGACAAATAGGAGAGAGAGAGGAAAAAAAACACACCAATTAGCCACCTCCTGTATGCACCCTGACCAAGGATCCAACCCACAACCTTTTGATGTACAAGATGGCTCTCCAACCAACTGAGCCACCTGGCCAGGGCAAGAGTTCACAGTATTTCTGATGTATTGGGGGGAGGAGGAGGGAGAGAGAAGATGTGCAGATGACTTAAAGGTGTTGACCAGAGCCACCGGGAGGATGGAGTCAGAGGGTGGCTGAGGGAGGCTCGTTTGCGGGGTACACTCAGCTAGAGACGCCCATCAGACATCCAAGTGGAGATGCGCGAGGGGAGGAGGGTGTTCGAGTCTGAACTTTGTGAGAAGGGTCTGAGCTGGAAGCAGGAACTGGGGAGTTGTCCACATGCAGCTGGTACTTAGAGCCGTGGGCCGGGTGAGCTCACCAGGGAGAGGCGTGTGGATGGACAGGGCACGAAATCCCAGGGCGAGCCCTGCACCGAGGCGCCCCTTTTGGAAAGACGGAGCGTCGGCAGCTGGGGGACCTGTCTAGAGTTGATGAGGCGGAGCAGGCGAGGCTAACCCAGGAGCCAGTGGAATTTTCCAGCTGCGGGTCTCGTTAGATGCTCACAGTCAGTGTGAGGAGAAGAAAACAGCCCGTGGATGCCCATGCTCATTCTCGTCATGCGGACGCTCCCTGTGGCTGGGCCGGCACCGGGGATTTTTCAGTTGGAAAGGAGATGTGAGCGTGGCTCCCGGTGTCGACATGACAGATGCTCTTTACGCACTCCCTGACCAAGCTGCCACTCAGAGAGGCCGCCCCGAGCCCCCGCGTCCTGTCGGCATCCCTGGGAATTAGCGAGGCCTTTTCATCGCCCATCTTGACGTCAAGTGGCCGGCCTTTGGAAACACCTTTTACGCACGAAGCCTTTATTGAGTTTTCCAGGGCTGGCGTGATGCTCGTCTGAAATACGTGTTTTTTTTCCTTCCATCCGGACGGGAACTCCGAGGAGGGCGAGGGTGGCCCTGTCCTGGGTGTCACATCCCGCCCGGTGCCCCCTGGCTCAGCCAGCGCTGTCCTCACTGTGCCCATCTCTTGCCTGAATTCCTGCCAAGTGGAGTTTATTAAAAATAACCCGTCCTGTCGGGCTCTGACCTCGCCCTCGGGAAAGGCTGGTCCTCGGTACAGTTCCGATGTCTGCGCGTCTCGAGTCCGCAGGAGACTGGCTGCTTTAGAGGGGCCCCGGTGCTGGGGGGCAGCAGACTATCTGCGCACCTCCTCAGACCGCAGGGTAACTCAGCCTTCGCCGTGCTTGTCGAGGGGCTCCTGGAACCTGAGAAGGACTCCCCCTCCCCTTCCCACCGAGACATAGAGTCAGTGACCTAAATGGGGGCTATGGCTGGATTTGGCTCCTGGAGGGCAAAGAGGATTTGCCCAGCTGGTCATGGGATCAGAAGGGGTTCCAGGTTAGTGTCAACCTGCACAGGCCAATGGGGTCTTGCCATGGACTTCTTAAAAATGGACATAGTTGCCCTAGCCCAGTGATGGCGAACCTATGACACACGTGTCAGAGGTGACACGCAAACTCATTTTTTTGGTTGATTTTTCTTAGTTAAATGGCATTTCAATATATAAAATAAATATCAAAAATATAAGTCTTTGTTTTACTATGGTTGCAAATATCAAAAAATTTCTATATGTAACACGGCACCAGAGTTAAGTTAGGGTTTTTCAAAACGCTGACACGATGAGCTCAAAAGGTTCGCCATCACTGCCCTAGCCGGTTTGGCTCAGTGGATAGAGCGTCAGCCTGTGGAGCAAAGGGTCCCGGGTTCGATTCTGGTCAAGGGCACATACCTTGGTTGCAGGCTCCTTCCCAGCCCGGCCCCAGTCAGGGCATGTGCAGGAGGCAACCAATCGATGTGTTTCTCTCACATTGA